TGGTAAACCTGAAACGTATAAAGGGTTGGATGTCAATTATATATCAATAAAACAGAGGAAAAATAAAATACATTTTCTTTAAATAAAACTACTGTTCTTTCAAATACAATTAGTCTATTGCATTTTTTCCTTAGCCACAGACTGAAAGCAAATCACTTTCTCAAAGAGGATGAAAATAAAAGCTAGTGAGCAGAGGGAAATATCTGCATGCCATATAACCAACAACAATAACAACAAAACTAGAACACACATAAAAGTTCTCAAAAATAATCAGTAAAAAGAATTCATTTATGCAATCTATTATAATCTCACCTATAGTACAAGACCCATTTTAGCAAAATGATGACAGTGAGAATAAAATGCCTATTTTCTCCAATCTCCTCTCTTTCCTTCTCCTTCCCCCCATCCTTCCTCCTCTTGCTGTTTCTTTCTCTCTTCTTTTTCAATTTGTGCATGTTGTGTTGTTTATCTCCCTTCATATGCTCATCTTCATATTTTTGTCTAAGCTGGGATATTCATTTCATAATGAGGATTTGTATTTTCCAATTTCAATGCAATTTTACCTCATGTGAATAGCCTATTTAGACATTTGTTAAAAACATCTAACTTAATTTCTAAGTTTAAATTAAAATATCCATATGCACACACACACATATTCACATACACATAAAATGCCAAAACCAGTATATTTAATATATAAGTTTCTTGTCCTTGTATGTATTTGGTGATTAGATTTTTAATGGATAGGTCAGTGAGAGCTAGGTTGTAATTTTGTTTTAATTGTGGGTATACTCTGATTTGGTGCTTTACATTGCATTAAATAAAGTGTCATAGCCATTGTTCTTATTTTTGTAAAGCACCTATCCTTAAATATCTTTCTACTTGCTGCAATATTTGACTATTCTTAATTTCTGGATGTAATCATTCAGTTAATAAAATGGTTCGCCATCATTAAAAAAAGAATTCATTTAAAATTAACAAAAAGCTGTAAAGAATACAGATGGATGACAAATAAGCATGTGAGAAAATACTCGACATGATCAGCCATTAGAAAAATAGAACTTTTCTTAACTAGGTATCACTGCTCACCTCTCAGAGTGACTAAGCAAAAAAGTGACCTCAAATGTTGGTGAGAATGCAGACTATCAATGATTTTGGTAAAATGTAAAAGGTGCAAGACCAATTAGTGGTTGTCAGAAGGGAAGAGGGAAGCCAGCATGGTTAAACTTTGAAAATGGGGACAATGTGAAGGTGAAGGCTAGAACTGCACTTTCGGCAGTGAAATTAATGTAGTATCTACACATGCTGAGTCTCAATGATGTGCACCAGAAATTTACATAGTGTCACTTCAATAAAAATATACCAACTGAGGAAAAAAATAAATGTCTATTATGAACAATTTTAAAAATCTATATATAAGTAACTCACATTGAAGGAAAGAAGCAAATTAATATTTCAGACTCCAAGAGCTCAGAAGACAAGAATTCTGTGGGCTGGGTGAGATGGGAAGACTTCCTACAAGGGGTGAGAATGAGATAGAACGTGAAATAGATGAAAATTGATGGTAATTAGTCCACTGCATTTTTCTTTGGCCACAGACTGAAAGCAAATCACTTTCTCAAGTGATAGCAAGAATCAAGAAGGCTATGAATGGTTTCCCTCTGAAGGACATGACAGAATGTGGCAATAGGAGCAAGTCTTTGGAGACTAGCAAGTCTTTAGCAGGCTAGGGAGACCTAGGGGTGGCGTCTGTCCATCTGGCCATCTGTCTGCTTGATGCATCAATGCCTATAGCCATTAATGGCACTCACAGTTCAAGTTTTTTGGTCATGATGGCCAGAGAAAGTAAGTGAAATTTAAAGAAATACTATAAAATTGCAAGTTTTGCTCCTGGCTACAGCAAAGAAACCCAGCCTCTGTACTGGAACTTAGTGTGTGGATGATTTGGGTCCATGGGACAAGCCTGAAGGGTCTATTTTCCTCAAAGACAGGACAGGAAATGCACAATCAACCACGTTTATTGCCACATAAAATCACCAGCAGTAATAGATATGGCCAAGCTGTCTTTCCTTCCCTCCTCCCCTCTCTGACAGCGAGGACTAGGCATTCAAATGGCTTCAGCGAATTTTTCTTTTATTCTGTCAGTTTAGACAAAGATTCAAGAGTCTGAAGAAATGACAGAAAACTGAGATTCTTGGAGTTCTAAGAGATAGTGTCAACTTTTTAAAAAAGTTGTCATTTTGCACGAAAACACTGATTGAAAAAGATACCTGCACCCCCATGTTTATTGCTGCTTTATTTACAATTGGAAAAACATGGAAACAGCCCAAATGCCCAA